TCTCCATTAAAAGTATAACTCATTATTATCTAGCATATATTTTCATATCAATGCATTTTAGATAGTTTATATCCTGTAACTTGTTACTTTTTCTCAAACTTCAAAAGTACAAATGCAAAATTTGTCAAATATGCACAGTGTGTGCAACTTGTACATTCTCTGAGGGGCATAGGATATCATGTTGCAGTATGTTGTAGAGATTAGAATCCATGTCACAACATCTTACCAGATTCCCAGTACAGGAGTAAATACAAATATCTCCTGCATCGGACACTTGTTGATATTTTTGATATAGCCTCAAAATTAAGACAAGACTTCAAACGATGCAGTAAGTTGCTAAAGTGGAGCTGCTTGGTGGTTAAGATATGCTTGATGTGCCATCCCAAGGTCCTGGTCTGAAACCTCATCACTGCATCACTTTTCTCACGGCTAAAAAACCAGTTCCACTCCCTGAGCCTCAAATTATAGCATAATTTCAACCTGTAAATGGTGATACTCCATATAATAGGAGTACCTCTATTGAGGGTACATCCCTATGAAACGTCTATAGTTTACATTTTGTTGTTTATGAAACATTGACTGGTGTACAGTCGCCTTATAGCGTCTGGTAAAAGGAGAAAACTTTATGGTCCAGAAGGTGTCCCTTAACAGGGGTTCTACTTGATTTAGAAAAGGAAAAGTAAAGTATAGGTATGAAATGTAATTGTATAGTATACTCAGTATTGTTAATAATATTAATAGGGGTTCTACATTATTTACAAAAGGAGAAGTAGGTACCACACATAATAATTAATATTAACACTCAGTTATTGTTATTATTTCAAAGAAGATCTTTAAAAAATATGTAATATATTCCACAGCTTTGGGTCCTACTAAATGTAGTGCTAACAAACACTGGATTTTGGGAGATATTAATAAAAAAAAATACCTTGTTGGTGATTATTATCTCCCGAGTTTAAAACAAGCTAACTCAAAATAGGTGCACACATTGTATTAGTTGGTGCTTGGCATCCAATTTTATTTTTACAATTTTACTTTTTATGTACATATATGTACACAATACACTTAATATCTAACCACAATATTTGATCAGCAGGGTTATAATTTCATTTTGTGCATAATTGATTATTTTACAATCTAATAATAATATTAGTCTACCTGACCACTGTACCCTGTTTATATCAATGTATGAAGAACCATGGAGGTATTATGGAAGAACATACCAACTGTAACAAAATCATGAAACCGGACCATGTGTAAAAATATGGTTTATGAGGTAAAACCATATTTTTACACATGGTGTACCCAACATTTAATGATTTTTTTTATTGATATGCAAACCTTCAAGTACTATTTTATATTTGTGTATAAGTTATATAAGATTTTTTCTAATAAAGGCAGGATCCGGAGAGAAACAATTTTTGTATGTTGAACAATTGATTTTTTTTCTAAAGCCATGTCTAACCTATCAAATTTTACTTGACAAAAAATATTCATGATGTGCCTATATATGCTCATAATGTGATGTTATGATGACCATATATAGCTTGGGTCAACCTTTTTAAGCTGTTGGCCAGTTCCAAACTGTTGAGACCAGCAGCGGCCCCACATACATTTTGTACTTCCATTTTGTTTCTGTCAGCCCCACCCATTTCCTTTTATAGCTTTGGATTTGAAATAGAAGGAGCCAGGGAAGAACTTTCACAGATAGGGGTAAATACCACCCTAGCCCCACCATGGTTAGGGCTGAGGTTAAGACAGTTTATTATTATGGCACCTCTAGATGATCGGAAATTTCATCAGACTTAAATATGAATATCATTTTCTTTTCTCCGTTTTCTGAAAGGAAAAAACTCCTATCCCTGCCACTAGAAATGTTCCTACTACAAAACTATCCACTCATCATGGTTTGGGCAGAGGTGAGGAAATTTTTAATATGGATACCTCTAGATTCCTGGGAAATGGAAGTTCATAAATGCGTTTTAACATGTGCTGCGCTATGAACCATCCATTAATTAGACCTACTCTACAAAATACTAATACATTATAATAGTAGTAAGTAAAAATGTACAGTGGGGTGGGGAATTAATTTTTATTACTTTTTTTTAGGCAAAATGTTGGTCAGACGACCGCCTGACCTGCCGGACCGCTTCCGTCGCCCCTGATTTAAGGAAAGTTATTACACAAATTATAAAAGAGGAAGACGACATGTACAAAGATAACTTCTGCCTTTCTAGATTTTGAAATTGGGGAGGTTTTGCAAGCTTACGAAAATGAGAACCAATACGGCTACGTCATCAAATGTCTAGTCAATTCATCCCTTACAGTAGCATATCTGTGACGTAGGCCATCCATGGCTTTTACACGAATCAACGATCATATTCAGCTCTTATATGTATTTCAAGAATGTTTTAGGGCACAAATGATGAATAATGAAGATGACGAATTCGTTATCGTTTTCGTAGTCTGATGTTTTAGATCAATAACATGCAAGTCACATAGTTTGAAATAAGGATAATTGTAAAGTTGTATACGAAGTTCAAAAGCAGTGATGGTGCCAGGACCTGCCTGACGGAGGGGCTAAAGGCCCAAACGCTGT